TGCACACCACGGTCTCAATCCCGCCGGGTGCTCAGGTCTTGGTGCCTTTGCAATATCGCACCCTGCTCATCACTTCCCGGTCAGATTCGCTGCTTGTAGTGTCCACGGTGCCATCGGTGGCCAGTCGCCATTGTTTGGCAGCAGCGAACACGCTTGTGTGGAACAATCAGCCACTGTTTTTACAAGTTCTTAACATGGTGGATACCCCCACAGTGGTAAAGGATGGGACGTTATTTGCGCATGTCAGTCCTACGGTTTCATGTTCCGATGTGCAGGGTGTTAATAACATGGATTTGGGGGTACTATCGGTTGGCGCAGAAGATGTGTCTTGGGTAAACGAGATCCTGGCACAGAACACCGATCTGTCAGGGGAGTAGGGACCCTTGTGTTCAGCAAGGATCCCTACAATGTAGGCCGCACTACGCTGATGGAACACGACATCGATACAGGTTATGAGCTACCCATAAGGCAGAACGCCTATAGGATGAGTCCTTGAGGTGCTGCCCCTAGCTTACCCCGATGTTTTGCTTCCCTTTGTGTTGGATACGGATGCTAGCGATGTGGGGGTTGGGGCTGTTCTTTCCCAGGTTCAGGAGAGTAGAGAGGACATGTTAGCCTCAGTGAGTCACGTATTTTCACCGGCTGAACAGCAATATTGCGTTACCCGTTGCGAGCTGTTCGCCATTGCCCACTTTGTGCAACAGTTTTTACCCTATCTGTATGGCCACGAGTTTACTGTTTAGACGGATCATGCGGCGTTACAGTATTCGCTTCGTATTGACCAGTCGATTGATCAGATGGCTCGGTGGCTTGAACGACTGCAGGTATATTCATATCGAGTCGTGCAACACAAAGGGCTGAGACACACTAATGCCGATGCGTTGTCCCAGTTGCCAGCTCCCATTATGTGCGCCTGTGGTCACGGCTCCCTGCGTTGTAAGCCCGCAGCCACGTCGGTGCCCGAGGTTGTAGCCCCGGTTCCCGTCGGGGACTCGGACTAGGCGGGGCCGTCCGCATCAGTTGACTGTGACATAGGGAGACCCCCGCTGGGACAGTTTTACTGCCTCTTGTCTCAACACGGCACCGCAAATTTAACAATGAGACGTCCTACGTCTGAAGCCGTCCCTACTCAGCATGCGTGAGACCCAGCGTGCCATCACTAGGCGCAGCCAACGCGGCTGGTGCTGCGTCGCCGGACACCGCCATAACTTGAGGCGATCCAGCCGCAAATTGGCTTACACCGGCCCGCACCCATAGAACACACACAGGTCACTCGGTATCAGGCGGAACAGCGCATCTGCGTTGCAGTGCCACACACCCTTCCTGTAGATAACAGTGAACGACTATTCCTGCAGTGTTTCCAGCCAGCGAGACAGCTGGCCAGAAGGCTGATCAATATGCAGGGAGTATTGGAGGGCCACGTGGCCCGTGCACACAACAAAGTTCCGTCTATGAAGCCATGGCCTATACTGTTGGACAAAATGAACCATGGCCAACAGTTCCCTGCGTGTCACACAGGAGCGCTATTCTGTTGGGAACAACACATGGCTAGATGTTTGCAAAAGATGGCACTTTTGCGGTTTGAATTTGAGATTGGCCGCCTACACTTTAACAAACACCGACCGCAATCGGCGCAAATGCTCCTCGAACATATGTCCCAACACAGTGACGGCGTCTAGGTAAATGAGGCACGAGTCCCATTGGAGAACTGCCAAGACCAATTCGATCAGCTTTTGAAACGTGGATGAAGCCAAATGCAGCTCCATGGGGAGGCAGTTAAAATGGAATAACCCTTGGGGTGTTCGGAATGCGGTCTTAGGCCTAGATTCCTCATCCAGGGGCAGCTGCCAGAACCCTGACAACAAATCGAGCGCTGAAAATAACCACGCGCCCGACAACGCATCCAAAGAGTCATCTATCTGAGGACGCTCCCGTATTGACCAGAACCCTTACCTCAATCCCCTGGATAAACCCAACCACCGCAGACGAACCCGCCACAGCCGCCACAACACGGTGCATCAATCTACTCCACTACTCTACACAACATGATTACCCATCCGTCACCGTAGTCCGCCGCCTGCACGCCGCAACAAGATGAAGGATGGCGACGTGTGAATCCGACATGCGCAACAGCCGAAATGCGTTAGGTGATGGTTGCGGCCAAGTGTCTGATGTGTCGTGACATGCCTGTCAGGTGGAGGAAGCGGATGTCGGCAGGGTGGAGGACGTCGAAGGCGAGGTGGAAGATTAGGCGCTGTTCCGGTATCCCCTGGTGATGTTGCCCGGCTGACTGCACTTTAAACAGGTGGTCGCGGACCTCCGTGCTGGAAGGGGGTCCCTCTCTTGCAACTCCCGCTCTGGCTGCCGTCCCTTGACTTCCCTCCCGCGTGGGTCCCAGACGAATGAAATGCAGGCCCACTCTGGGTCCTGCGGTGCAGGCCCCTCCAGATCTGCAGGATCCCATGCACAAGCAACTTCAAGTAAAGGTGTGCCTGTATACACTGGGCCACCGTCAGGGATGACAGGTCGTCCCCCCGTGATGGAGAGTGCGACGCTCAACTCCACTTTCAGCAACAGCCCCCAGCTCCCACTCAGGGTTCCCTCTTATACTCCCTCTTGTGCTCCCGGCGTGGCCTTGCTCCGCCCTGGCCACGCCCCTCCTTCTGGAACCTACTAGCAGGTTCTTGGGGCTTCCAGATGGACCCCTTCCTGAGCTTTTCCCTAAGTTCTCTTTCCCCCCGTGTATACTGTCACCTGCTGACGTGTGTACTGCCATACGCTGTCAGTACCACTTTCTGTCAGTAGCTAGCGCTATTACTCTACACATGTATTTTCCTTGACGGCCACGGTGTTTTAGAATTCACGAACAGCCGGGCCGACTGGAGGCAGCGGCCGCCACCGTCCTCCTGTCATTTGTGATAGCAAGGTCGCTTCTGAGAAGTAAGTTAATACCTCAGTGGGCTTTACTTGGAAAGATAACAAAAAATTGTTTAGTTTTATTGGAATATATTTTGAAGTGATTTGTTTACCCTTGCGCTACATATTCTTGCTTCTTTCGGTAAAGTCACGTAGATATAAAACAACAAATCAAAATTAAAACAAAAACTGTGGTGCCACAGCAACGGAGCAACTCTGCCGGCGCTGCTATCCCCTTGCACCCCTCCACACGAATGCACGCACACCCCCACTAAACACACACACGCACCCACGTAGTGTCTCGTAGGGGGTCACCTGGTACCATGGGTTTTTACTCGAGGGACTCCTAGCGAGGATGTCCAAAGGTTTCCCAGTGCCAGGAGATTGGCCGACCCCCCCTCCCCCCCAGGCCGAATTGCATTGCGGCCCACGTGAATTAGCTTAGCATTGTATGAGCACGACGAAGCTCACCGAGCAAACCGCAATGAGAACACTCACAGCATAGGGAGATAGGGTCTCGGGGGCAAACACCCAGCGAGGTGGGAGGGAAATTCCTGGACCGACTGAAGTTGTGTATTCCATGGGACGGCCACCCCGACCAAACCGGTTGGGGCGGGGGTGGGGAGGGCGGGTGCGTAAACAATGGGTGAAGGCGAACTGGAGGATATCGTTCCAGGTAAGGGCGGGGCATCGGTTTAAATCGAAAGGTAGGCGCCCGATTGGCCATGCAAGGTAACACCACGTGACCCTGGATTTTTGGATTCTTAGGGGACAAAGGGAGGGAAGATAAAAAAACATAGTCCTTCTCGAGCGGTTGAGCTACCCGGGCTGACTCCCAGCCGCTCGCAGCGTCCGAGCGACGCTGGCGAGCGCTGCTACAACTCGACCCCCAGGCAGAGACCTCGTCCCTCCGACTCCCATCACGTCTGTATGACCCCGTGAGTACGTCTGTGAGGTGAGAAGTAGGGGGAGAGTACACTCAGGGATTGAATAGGGATAGGCTGAGTATTTACTCCGGACCGCCCAGGGCTTGCTATAGACGCGTCATTAATAAACTTTATCACAGAGTACCGACACAGCGTGATTTCTGTGTGTGGAGAGAGCGTATGTGTGGTGCGAGTACGTGCGGGCGTGTGAAGCGCGCGTGTATTCAATCATAAACGATCACTGACGCTAGCGTGTGTTTACGTAGCGACGATCGCATCAACGGTGGGGCGTGTGTAAATTGTCATCAATACGGCCGTCGTTTTGCCCGTTGCCTGTGCCCGTGTGCTGTGTCTGCACAGCGGATTAAAGCCGGCCCCACAGGAGGGGGAGGGGCGCGTGCATATTCATACGGCGAGCGAAGGTGCGGCTCCTCGGGCACGCGCGTGCACGCAGCCACCTCCGCATGAGTGGTGGTGGTGTACGTGGGAGTGTGTGGGGTAACTCCGGGCGGTGGGGAGCCAGCCACGAGCCGTGTCCCTCAGAGAGGGCGCTGCTGCGGGGAGGCCGGTCACGCGATTGGCTCAGCCCGGCGAGAAGGGGTGGAGGAGGGGGGAGGGGCGGAGGAGGGGGCGTTAGCCCCCACAAAACCCCACGACGTTTCGATCGCAACACAAGCGGTCTTCTTCCACCTGAAGAAGACCGCTTGTGTTGCGATCAAAACGTCGTTGGTTTTTTGCTTTTTATTTAGATTTTTAGTTTTCTATCTACGTCACTTTACCGAAAGAACCAAGAATATGAATTCCTGCAGTCACGAAAGTTATACGTCTAAATTTACCTTTCCTATCCTTTGCACTCCTATCGTGTTTTTGTATTGTTTGTTAACGTTCTGACCCCGTACCCTACTGGACGTGTGTGTAAAGAGCTTCATAGCTCATCGGATTCCTCCTCCTGCGGTATAAATAAATAAATATATATTCTGGCCCCGGGGGGGGGGGGGGCGCTCCCACTCACGAGACCCGATTCATCTTCCGGAAGAATCTTCCAGAAGCAGAAGAAGAGGTGTCGGTGGTTATTTCACACCCCCCCCCACTCTCCAAGCACCCCGTCTTCTCATTCCGGCAGAGGCCGCTGGCGCGTCACGTGCCTCCACGGTGACGTCACCCGCCCGCGCGCGCGCCGTGTTCCGTGTTGGGGGCAGCAGCTCGCGAGGGAAGTTTCTCCTCCTCCGGCCTCTGGGGCCGTCGCTTCAGCGAGCCGCGCTTCGTCCCCCGGCGTCTTCGAGGGAGGGAGGGAGGGCGGCCACACGCGTGAGTCCATCGCGCCGCGTGGCCGGCGAGACCAAGCCTGGCCACAAACTTCCAAACTCTGCAAGAGTTTCGCGAGCGTCGGGCGCGGCTCCCGATGGGTTACCAAGGCGAGCGGGCGGGAAGTGGGCTCGTGTTCCGCAGCGGCTCTAGGCGAGGCCGTGGCTGCGGCCTAGCCCGCCTCGGCGTCTCGCCTCTCGAGCGCTGCCTAATGCAGTCGTTGAGGGTGGCTGTGTTGTGAGGCGTTGCTCATTCTCACCCCATGGCATTGATGTTGACTGCGCAAGGCAAGGGAGAACAGGTTGGAGCAGAAATACCAAGAGCCCTTGAGCAATTGCGAGATTTGTATAAATGTTATTGCAGTAAACAGCGTTGATGATTTTGCGTGGCGCTTGAACCGCAGTCGCACAACGCGACACCTTTTACTGCAGCATAGTTGGGGGCAAATAAACTTGTACAAGTGTTACAAAAAATAAACTCCACTGCTCGATCAAGGCATAGAGTAATAGTACCTCGATAGGCGTATATGCGAAAAGCGAAGTTTCTGTATTGCCATTAATTTACAGAAAGCGAAACAAAATAAGGAAAATATATACACTGAAATGCATACATAATACATGTATCGATATACAGTACTATATAAATAATAATACAATTAAAATAAATATAGATTCAGTACACCTTTTATTTACGTCAGTTTATTATAAGTGTTTAGTATAAAATATAATAGTTTAAATATACATTTTCTTTGCTTCCAATATTAATGGTAAGTTATGAAGTGTTTATCGTATGAAATGGTACGATTGTATAAATTATTAGATATACGACGTTTTAATATACTAAGCTCCAGGAACGCATCTACTTGATATATCTAGGACAGTATACGATCCTAAAGGTATTTTTTTACAACGGAACATAGATGTTTCACTCTTTGGTGGCAGCTGAGATAACAGAACATCATAAAAACAAACCCCACTATTCCTAAGTACAGTATAACTCGGGAGTATTTTAAAAAAATAAACTACACCACGTTTGACTTGGTTGTAATGGTCAGGTAAAGAAATCGTGAACACCAAAGCGTGTTTACAAATGGCCGAATCACTTGGGAATGTGCCCAAAATCTCGTCAGATCTCATCAGAAGCCCAAGCCTGCACAGTGCTGGTGCGTGAGGGTGTTGTATATACAGTGGTACCTCGGTATACGACTGCTTTGGAATACGTTGAATTTGGTACACGTCGTGTTTTGACGAGAAAAAAATGTCTTGGGATACGACGTCTTGCTTGGGATACGACGCGCTTGCTAGAACTTGTATGGGTCGGGATGAGTCACTGCGTACCCGCGTATACCCCGTTCACGACTGAAAACAAAGCGCCACTCTCAGTCTGCCTGTCCAGTAGATCTCGTTCAGTGCACAACCCTTACTATAACTCTCTGGGAATTTTCACGAGTTTTTTTTGTCATTTTAACGTTAATGATTTTAGCAAATTTCAATTTATTTTAATGTATGCATTTATTTTTATTTATGTCAGCATTTTAGTAATAAGTAGTGTAAATAATTGTATACAACCCCATTAATGTATAATATGCCATATAAAATATAATGTCTTATACTCTGGAGCGGATCATTTCCTTTCCCTTTATTTGTTATGGAAAAATTATTTGGTTTCCGTCATGTTCGGTACAAGTCCCACCTTCTGGAACAAATTAACGACGTATACCGAGGTACCACTGTATTGGGTCTTGCAGAATTATAAAAATTAAATGAAAATTGAAAAAATGTGTAATTTTCCGAAATGTCAATGTATGTAATTATGCAAATCATGTTATGTTAATTAGGAAGGTGTCATTGTATCAAGCTATACAAGTGTAATTATGATAATTGACGTTCTGCCTCGTTGTCTAGGGTTGTATTATCAATCAGGATAATACAAGGATTCTTGCTTTAACTTTTATTTATTATGTTTGAGTGTTTGTCAGGTCTCAAAATTCAGATCTCTCCACAGGATACAGTTCTTATAATTAAGATTATTATACATGAACTTAGGAAGGCACCACTCAGACTATTCTCTGTTTAGCAACTTTAATCTCTAAAACATTCTAACAAGCAAACACTTAAGCTCAGAATTGTCAACACAGTTCTCCTCGAGATGTCCTACTCATTTATCCGTACAAATAACCCTCAATGGTTACATTTGTTAACTGGGTAACAGAACAATCGGTTAATTCCTCAGAGTAAAGCGAGCATACACGGCGATGGGAAAAAGTCCTTAAAAATGAATGTGACAATATTCATACGAACAGTAATAAAGAAACATGTCCTGAAAGCAAAAGTAGACGTCAATTAATTCATTGATAAGATTATGCAATTAACGAAAACGAATGACTAAAATACTTCTAAACAATCGTATTCATGTAACTCAACGTGCAGCAATGCTTTTCACGATCAGCTGATATTTGACACACCACCTTGGAATGGCAACCCTTCTTGAAACACAAAGATAACTTTTTGGAACAATCTTATTAGTCCCGATATGCGTGTTGTGTGTGTGTGTCTTCTTTGCCACTTGTTGACTTGGCGGCTTACGCGGTATGGCCTTCCTTGTGCTGAAAATACCTCGGGTTCCCAGCAGGGCAGCTAGGGCGGTGTATGTGTGTGTATTGAACACACTTCGCTCTTGCCTGCGCCAACACTCTTCCTCTTGGCGTTGCAGCTGGTTGAGTTGGCGCCGATGCTCGCCGTCGGCGGTGCGCGATGATTCCGTCGTCAGATAGTGCTCGCAGCTCGTCTACTGGTCGCCGTTCCTCACTCTTGTCTTGGCTACCAGCTGGGGCTTGTCGGTGTGTGTGTGGGTCGAACCCACGGCGCTCTCGCCGGCGCTCTCCTATTCCTCATGGGCGGCTGGTCAGGCTCATCCCCCTGCTCCGTGCTCTCTCCTTGCTCTCTCCATGCTCTTGCCCTTTGCATGCCGCTGCCAGCTTCACACGGGCACCCGCTGGTGCCTCTCCCGCCCTCCTTCAGGGCTGCGCTGCCTCAGGTTCTTTCATTGCTCCGTTCTCTCTCCTTTGGCGGGCAGCTGCCAGTTTCGCGCTGGCATTTAGTGGTGCCTCTCCCACCCTTCCTTCAGGGCTTCGCCTTGTCGTTGCTCAACTTTCGTGCTCTCCGCCCTTCTTCCAAGAGGGCTCTTGCTGTGAGCTGCTCGTCGCTGGCTGGATCACTCACTCTCAAAACTTGTAAATTGTACGGCGTGGGGAATTATGCAGCAGTGGTTGGACAAAGGACTGTAAGTTATATTTGTCGTAATGTTTTGCAAACTCAACAGTGGATCTGCATTTTGTTGGTCAATGTTGTTGGTCTGGAAAGCCAATAGAGTGATGGGCGAAACATGGTTTAATTACGTGGAGATACATATAAAAATGAATCTACTGCACTCTATACGATTCTATCCATAATGGCAATGCTTAGTGAGTTTGTGTACCGTTTTATTTCTCGGAGTGCTCTTGCCAATAACATCAGAACCCAGCCGCATTTGATGATGAGACACAGAAGGCTGAAACCAGTCCAGAGTTTGCTTGTTTAATATGCTGCTTGTGATAATAATATTGGTATTGAAAGCCTTGGAGGTTGTAGAGACAGAACGGAGTTCCGCTTCATTGTGAATGTTGTGGATCAATGCCACAGCTTTAAACGCGAGCCTCTCTGGCTCCGGAGTTCAACTCTGATCCCCACAACAGGCTGGGTCCTGGCGATCCCAATCCTGATCCCCAGCCAGTACCTCTCCTCACCGTGGACACAAGGAAGGAGCAGTGGGGTAGCGAGTGAGTGTGCGACTGCACTAGGCCCGCCAACCTGAGGAACCCAGTCGCCAGGTTACAAAAGTAGAGGTCTCCCAATTGAAATTAATTGATCGATATTTTATGTGTCAACATCGCCCTCAACAAGGTAGGCACCAGTCCATATTACAGCAGAACGGGGAATGGTACAAGGGGCATATGAAACCCGTCATGACCTCAGTGGCTAACACAGACTGAGCAAAGTGGATTGCAACCGTGCAAGAAATGAAATGCAAACGTGCACAATGAATACCATAAGAGAAAAAAATATTCAATAAAAGAAATAATAAGTTAAGAAACTTTTTTTTCCTTACATTTTATGGGAAGGCAAGTCTTGCACAAAAACCCATGCTGAACATTGATTCACAAATTTTGGTGGTTTTTGCACAGATTGCTTTGGGCTTAATTGTTATACAGTCTGTTCTGCTATAACGCCGTGGTACTAGTTGTGTTCTTGAAGAACACCGCATTATGGAATAATCGCGTTGTAATAAATAATATAAAATATAGGGTAAAGCACAGTCCGCGATAACATGTGAGATGCGTACGTAGGCTGAGCATAGACTGAGCGGCGTGAGTAGCATCTAGAAGTGTCCACCAGCATCCCAACGGCTTGTGTGATGCTACACCAAGGTAGCCTTACAACCGCTTATTCCTACTCGCGCAACGTAGTTCTGCCCACTCGATCGCGTTAGATCCAATTCACATCCGCATAAAAAGTGTTCCCTAATGCATCAATTGCATTATGTCCAACTTGCGTTATGAAAACACGCATTATAGGAGAACAGACTACTGTATATTGTTTTTGCTTTTTTACTCGGTCTTTCTCATCCCCTATATCACTCTGCTATGAAGAAGAGCCAATGCCAAAAAAGTATATTATAGATCGTATTCTTCTCCAGGTTAGTGTTATTGACAGATGTGTTCAGTTTGTGCACCAACGCCAACGCAGCATGACATTATTTTAACGCAACCGGCAGAGGTGTCGACCCCTCCTGGCCCCAACCAATCACAGCCTCATAGCAAAATTTATCTCGCAGTGCAAAATTGCTGACACCGCTTCTCTAAGTAAAAACAACTGGAAGCGCCAATTTTATCTTGGTTACAGGGAACATCTCAGGCCCACGGGGCCTGAGAACGCGGCAGCTCTAGAGAAGGACCCACTGTGTGTGTGTGATTGCACTCTGCCCTGACCGATGCATTATGGAAGCTATGTGTGTGTGCGTACTGCGCTGGGCGCTGTGTTTGCTGCTGTGTTGACACAAGCGATTTTATTGTATCACCCTCGTGCCATTCCACAGCTGGGCAAGGAAAGAGCGCCGAGCCATGGGTACAATCAAGCACTCGCCCGAGTACAACTGGTTCCGGAGCTCCGTGTCACTCAAGCGGGTGGGTTCACAGTCACGGTTTGTGTTCAGTAGGATTGACCATTGACCTCCCGATACCGCGGTTGAAACAACGTTAAGTTGGAAGATCCCTGACGCAGTCGTCTGGTTGCTTGACCGCCTGAATGCAATATTGTAGTTGTTGTTCTGCATCTACCTCCGCCGTATGAAAGAAGTTGAATCAATGGCCAAGTCTCTGAAATCACCTCCTACTCCCTCGCACCCCCTACCATTCAGCGTAAATGGCTTCATCAAAGTTGATTTGTGTCGGTACTGCCACCGCTTCCGTGACCTCCGGCCAGCTTGGAAAGAGTAGGCCAAAATAACATCTAGACGTGCTGTTTAGCGCTCCGTCTAGCAGAGGCCCTTTTGCCAGTGGAGGCATGAGCAAGACTATTGCAGGGCTGTGCCTTTTACCGTCAGTATTCAAATAAATCGTCAGTGAAACATCCGACTACTTGAATATCAGAAACAGGTTGGGTGGGGGGGATCTGTCTAACAAAGAGGAAAGGAGCATGTAAGGGACCCCCGTTTGTTCAGTGTAAGAGGTGACTGCGAGGACTCGGTTGATATTCACAATTCACCGAGTGTAGCTATTTAAGTAAATGGGTAGCGCTACAGTTTTGCTTGGATAGGGTGGGACCAGAAATTGACGCAGAGGGTCATGGCCAGGAGTCGGCAACCAAAATAAGAAGAGCCGTTTTTTTTTAATTCGGTACAAAACTATTTCAAGAGCCGCAATGCGTGTGAACACGAGACGGTGGTCCTTAATAAATAACGTCACGGAACAGTCCTGAAAGAGCCGCGTGCAGCTCCCAAGCCGCAGGTTGCTGACCCCTGGTCATGGCCACTAGCGGGTGGGGAAGATCCGGACTTTATTTCACATGATGCCTCTACTCGGAAATGGTCCGCAAACAACATTTATTAATCACTGCAAGCATCGTAGCCCCACTCGAGATGGCTCAACACTGTTTCTAAGTACAGAAGCCCGAGTCACGTCTTGTCTTTCATGTGGTTCTGAGCACACAGTGTGTACAGTCCTAGGTTAAGCAAAGAAGTGTCAATGCATGAGTTTTTGCCCGTCAAAGGAATGTAACATTTCTAGTCAGTCCTGAATAAAAAATAAAGTTTTCCTGAATTATGAGTTGAGTATTGAATTTCTGTCGAGGACGCCAGGGCATGCTCCTTTGCAGGGAGTCGTGCACTACTGTGCAGAGAGCAACTCAACAAGTTTAAAAAGAGGAAGTAGAGCGGCAGGGAGAGAGAAAGTGAGAGAGAAAATAATTGAGAGAGAAGGGGGAATAAGACAGGGGAGAGAGAAGGGTGAGAGATTTAGAGAGTGAGAGAGTCGTATCAGTCATGTGCCACCACGCGGAATGCTGAGCAGGCAGGGGGGGGGCTGCAATGCGGCCTTGGCGTTGAAGGGTCACGAGTTTGACACCGCGTGCAGTCACACCGAGTCTTGTGAATCCGTGTAACTGCCAGGCGATGATTAATTGATTGAAATTCCTTCATCCACGAACGGTAATCATCACCATTGTCATCCCTCCCATAACCACAAAGGTCATGGGCGCCACTGATGAGTGCCAATTGTCTCCACTTACCACTCGCTCATCACCTGCAAGCATGATTGTGGCACGTGTGGTTACCATGTGGTTACCGCGTGGTTGGGATGTACTTTGCCCTGTGCTTGGGGTATAGTTACTACTATACTAAAGTTAACTAATTATATTACCTGGTAAGGCCACTGAGCTGCTATATAGGTCTTTTTCAGAAGCGACCTGGCCACAAATGATAGCTCAGTGAAGTAACTTATCACATGTGCTTTTTGAATGGCAGCCAAATACCCTAAATGCATGTTTCTAAATGTGGAGGGAAAAACCAGGGGGCCCAGAGAAATATCCACGTGACCACGGGGAGAACATGCAAACTCCAAATATACAGCAGGCATCAGGGTCGGGATCGAATCTGCAAGCTCCTGCATACCAGGCGAGGGAGTTAACATATCGTCAACGGGGCACCTCTTGCGGTTTAATGCATGGTTGGCATGCCGGTGTGGTCACCGTGTGGTCACCGTGCGGCTGCCCTATGGTTGTCTTGCAGCGTGTGCTTCGTGGCGTGGTGTGCAAGTGGGGAGCGGTGGTGTAGCGGTACGTGCGCTGCGCTACAAACCCGGCGACCCGAGTTCGATTCCACCTCACGGCCAACACCAGTGACGTTTATCTGAACCTGTCCTGGGCCTCCCCTAGGTTGACTCGGCCTCAAACGAGTACCTGGTGGGGTGTGTAAACATCACGATTAGGGAGAGACAGAGGCGGCTGGGTATGGTGCTGGCCACCCACTCCCTTCGTGTGCCCAGCCGACTTTCATAGGTGCTGTTCAGTAACAGAACTTGCCCTAACGCTTTGTTACAGGCTATAAGGGGGTTCTTTGACTTTGGTGTGCAGGTGATAGTGGACGAGGACGACACGAAGGTGTGGTCGCTGTACGAGGCCGGCCCGCGGCACGTGCGCTGCCCCATCGTCATGCTGCCGCCGGTGAGCGGCACGGCCGACGTCTACTTCCAGCAGATGCAGGCGCTCAGCGGCCAGGGCTACCGCGTGATCTCGGTGAGCGTCGTCACATCTTTATCCCCATCATAATCATTCACTATTACCATCATAATTACCATCATCATAACCATCATAATTACCATCACTATTACCATCATCATTATTACCATCATCGGTGCAGGGGCACCATGTCGTATCGTCACGTATTTATTCATAATTTATTTTCCTTGTAACGTGCCACGCGATGCTCGCTCACTCTTGAAGAGAGAGAGAGAATTGAGTGGTGCGACGAGGAACCACGGGAAAGGTAGCCACATAGTGAGCCAGTGCGAATTTCCCTCCCAATATCTCCAGTCCTCTATATTATTCATATTATTTCCACCAATTAATGAGCATCACTCTATCCAAATACAGATGGGACAGATCTGAGTCCACATTTGCTGTCCTGTATTTTCCCGGCAACGCCAGGGTATTGCACCTCCTTCAAACCCACGAGAAGGGAATTTGGCAACATTTGTGTGATCATCATGGGACCTCTTTTGCCAGTACCAAAATATGAGAATAGGTTTTCCCCTTTTTTCTGGCAACAAAACAGGTGTAAAGATGTTAAAACACCAAACTAAAACCTTTCACAAGGAATCGTGTCTGCATTAACCACAATACTTGTGGTCAGAATGCAAAAAAAAAACATACTCTAATAATATATGTGTAGGGGTGTTACGGGAGGGCGAACAGACACACAAGGGGTGGTTATGCCCGCACGCGGAAGGATGCTTACATCCACGTCCGCATCGGTTAGCCCTGGGGGGCTGTAACGGCACTGTGATCCCCCACGGCCCCACCCCTCGTGGGGGCGTTGCTATATAAGGCGGTTAGCCGGTGGGCTCAGGATTCAGTATTCAGCTTAACCAGTGAAGAGTGAAGACCGGCTAGATAGGCCCTGGGACTCCCCTGGATTGCTGTCCTTCTAAGGACCGACCAGGGCAAGCCAGTGGCGTGGCCCCGAGAGCCCAGAGCCGATGCTCTTGTAAGAGCAGGTCTGGTGGCTAAGGGTGCCGTGATCCCTGCTTGGCCAGAGCTGGATCAGCTAGCCTCCCCTAGCTCTCGAGTGGAGGACCTGGAAGTAGGCTAGCCGGGCTAGAGTTAGTGGGGTCTCCCTGTTAGACGGGTGAAGGGGCCGTTACCCCTTCAAGTGTTGTATACATTGGCCTGTGCTGAGTGTAAAGTTATAATAAATAAGTGTGCCTCCGACTACGTCGTCTACATCTCATGGAACCTACTATATATGCATTGTCTTTGAAACTGATTGGTCCACACTAGAGACAGCTTTCTTTTGAGCCTAGTCTCAAAACGGTGTTAGACCAGATATGTTTTGCTGTTGTCTTGTACAGCGTTGTGAGATGCAGTTTTGCATGAACAACGCCATATAAAAAGGAATTATCACCATACCACATCATATTGGTGAGAATCACATCATCATTGCCATCATCAGCAGGCAGGGTTACTGAACTGTGATCTTAGTTCGAGTCGCATCATCAGCTCTATCATCATCTTATAAACGTTGCCATCATCACAATCATCATACTCTACTCGACTAATCATCCCTGCTGTGCACGGGAGCTTTATGGACACTGTGTGACCGCTGCTTTGTGTGTCTTGTGTAGCTTCAGTACCCGGTCTATTGGAACGTGGAAGAGTTCTGCGAGGGCTTACGTAAGCTGCTGGACAGCCTACAGCTGGACAAGGTGCGTTGCCACCTGACCACCTTGTCTCCTTACCTTCCCGTTATTATGACACTTGTTTACCCAGGAAAGCCTCACTGAGTCTCATGGCCCTTTCAGGAGGGTCCTGCCAAGTTTTTGCAGTAGGGTAGCGATGATTGCTGCTGCTGTGTTGATTCAAAGTAATTTGTGGGCGCAGTTTTTTCAGATTTAGAAAAATGGACTCTGACACCAAACACACAATGCCTCCTCTTGCAAATGATGTCACACGATCTTGAATGTCCACTGCGATGCAGATGGCGCGTAGTATTGTTAATGTTGATACAGGGCGCAGTATCAATCAGGGCAGCCGCTGGGTTCGAATTTTTAACCTCTGTGACAAGCGGCGAGCATGCTACTGTTGGGCCGCGTCACCGCCCCCGGTCGCCATCGGTCATCCTGGTTGCGCGTTACAACACACTGACATTGCCCGTGAGTCCGACCGATGTAACTCAGAGGTTGGGGGTCTCTGGTTCACGCGGGGATGTGTGTGCTTACCGTACGTTGCTGCAGGTGCACTTATTCGGAGCGTCGCTCGGAGGGTTCCTGGCTCAGAAGTTCACCGAGCACACGAGCAAATCCCCCCGCGTGCATTCGCTCATCCTGTGCAACGCCTTCAGCGACACCTCCATCTTCCGGCAGCACTGGACCTCCACGAGGTGAGAGCACGATCGCCACGGTGACGATGCCCACTTGGGCAGTTTGTGCCCCCCCACCTCGTGAGGATGAGGATGCCGCAGCATTTTTAAGCGTTGTGCATCGTCGCGTCTTATCTCAACCACTGTTGCTCGGCTGGACAATCACCTGTGGCAACTGTGGCAGGCTGGCCAAGAGGACCCCAGGTGGCAACCATCCCTACGCTAGTACAAGGTGTACCCAAGACTGGCCGGCAAGTGGGTATCAGTCTGTCAGTAGGGGGTGATGTTGCTCTATGATTATTCCCAGCTAAGTAATCTGCGGATAATTATTATAATTGTGTAATATTTGGACCATATCGCCAGGACATGGCCAACTGCTGTTTTTGCAAATAACGACTCGGGATGTATGCATGTTGAGCTAACCGGAGGTGCGGGGAAAGGACAACAAACTAAACACAAAAATCAGTTCTAAAGAAATTAGTTTTCAATCTAGATTTAAAAGTGCATAGCTCCAGTGATTTCCTAATATCAGAAGGAAGAGCGTTCCAGATGGCCGCAGAAGTGCATCCGAGAGCGCGCGATGCAGTGAAGCAGGGATCTTTAATGTCCAGATTCGGACCGACGCTACGGAGTATTTTTGGCTAACGTACCCGCCTTATTAACTGGGGTGGCCGTTAGGCTCGAGCCGGGGAAACCTCTGTGACAGGTGTTTGTACACACTTTCTTTTAACTCACTCTGTCTGTTGTTGTTGTCGTATCTTCAAATCTTGTAACTTAATCTTAACCCACTTCTCAATGGGATATCGACTGCAAACTTGGTATACTTATGTCATACTGAAGACAATATTATATTCTATCATAAAAAAATATATATTTTTAAACATTCTTTTTTATATGTTATGTTTCGGCATGGGTCTAATTGTCCACGGTCAACTGACATTGGCTGTAATTGGCCACGGTCCCTTACGTTATGGCAAGTTTCGGAGCCACTTCCTGGAGTCGTGGAGTTCTGCCATTACTAGTACATTTCATATAAGCGTGTTTTTTTTTTTATATTACTTATTAAATGCCCGGGCCACTCTGTGGTCCCATCCCCCTGCTCTGTTTTTGCCGGCGCTGTCTTCACAGTTTCTGGCTCATGCCGGCGTTTGCGCTGAAGAAGCTGGTGATGTCCAATTTTGCGGCGGGACGCGTGGACGGCCAGATGGCGGACGCCATTGACTTCATGGTGGACAGGGTGGGCCCCCCACGCCTCCTCACAGTCACTCCGCATCCAGCCAGGCCCTCGTCCGCCCCACAGAATCAGAATGCTTATTTATACTGGAGGAATCCGATGAGCTATCAAGGCTCTTTTTCACACATGTCCAATAGTTTTCACGCATGTCCAGTAGATGTCCACTCGTCAAGTTCCACTTTAAAACCTTTTGCTTTAATACGGTCTTTTAATCGAGTTCACCTTGGTTTGGGATGTACTATGTGTCTCACGAAGGAGCAAGACACAGAGGAGAGGCTAGGCAGTCGACACTCAGCCCATCATCCCCCCAGGGTCAATAAAATGAAAGTACCGCTTTTCTGAGCAAGTCAACCGTGGTTGCCCTTTAGATGGGAGCTAAAATTCAACTCGTTCGTCATTAATACTGGCTCTGAAATGAAAATATATAATAGGTTACATGTTGGGCAATGGCCCTCCATACCACATACATAATTTTGTATGCCCTTGCCCCCGTCATAGGAATGTGGATTGTCCACTACTGGCTCTATGGGGCTGTGAACACGAGATGAGTTCCAGTGAGCAGGAATCACTCTGACTTCGCCGAGGATTGAGGGAGGTTACACTGCCGAGTGTCACTGAGCCTTTATCGATTCGCCGCTCTGTTTTTGTGCAGCAAATCAATAATGGCTGCTGACCACCCCAGCCTCGAGTCAATGATCATTCCACTAGTTTATCCAGGAAAGCATCACTGAGTATCAGGATTCTTTGTCAGGGCAATGATTGCCATTGTGTAGATTTCATTTGAGTCAGGAGGTCCCATATTTGCATTGGGGATAGCGTCTCTGGAAAACGCGACGTAAGTTGTAACAACGTAAACAGAAGCCTATCTTTACTACCATTTACTTAATGGTATAAATTTATGTTTATGTTCCTGGGTGTAATATTTTTGGTCGAAATTTACAGGAAAATAAAATATCTAAATAAGTACCAAAAAAAAATAAAAGGACTAAAGATAACCCAAAAAGTTGTATAACTACTTTAAATAAACAATGTTATAATACAGAAGATTGCATTTCGAGGCCACCTCCCGTATTTTGGTGAAGGCGTTGTTGAGGAGTTAGTTACTACGGCGACGTCACCAGCGCTGAGGCTGGAGCACCCGCTTGGGGTACCATGGCGTGGTGTTGTGGCGTAGCGCCGTGTCGTTACGTACGCTGCCCAGATGACATAGTGAATCGAGGCACTTTAAATGTAGTTACCTTCCCTAATTCATAGGCGCCGTTACAGTGAAGCAGCGTAAGTGTGGCATACATGTGGGGACTTACCGTAATACGCGGTGTCATTTTTTATTCTAATGACCAGTGAGGCAGGCGGCAGATAGTAATATAATTCTCTTAGGTTTTTTCGGTAAAGTCACGTAGGTAAAAATAAGTAAAAAAATTATAATAATAAACAAAAGAAATACTAATAGAAATAAAATAAAAAATCACGACGTTTCAGAGGCAACACAAGCTTCCTTCATCAGGTGTAATAATGTCCCATCACAAATAACTCTCACTACAGTTATTGCCTTTTTACACCTGATGAAGGAAGCTTGTGTTGCCTCCGAAACGTCGTGATTTATTATTTTATTTCTATTACTATTTCTATACATTTATTTATTATTTTTAAAAAAATTTACCTACGTGACTTTACCGAAAAAACCTAAGAGTATGAATCCTTGCAGTCACAAAAGCTTCAAATCTTGAAGTAATATCATTATGGATATTACACCCGCAGAACATCTGCAACAAGCGACGAATGCGCTGTATATTACAAGCGACGAATGCGCTGTATATCACTAGCGAAGGCCCACTGAGCTATGTAGCTCTTTTTCAGAAGCGGCTTATCATCATGGAAATGTATACCACGAGGCCACATCTCGGCCCCATGTGTTGCGTATATGTGTGGTTGATGAGTATGTATAGTTGATGTGTATATGTGGTTGATGTGTTCTGTATATACATGTATTGCATATGTTATTGTATGTATGGGTGTTTATGTATTAGGGTGCCACTCAATATGCATTTGGAAAACGGAGGATTCACTTTTCTAGATCTCACCCTTCTCTCAATGTTGTTACCTTTGGTATAAAAGTCAATGGCTGAGAATCTCATTCTACTCTGTTCATATTTACAAGTGGCTCAGGATGCCCTTTTCTCCTGTTCTGCTCTTGTGCCGCTACTCTTGTGACTACATTGGCTCTGATGCATTGTTCAGCTCCGTCAAGCAACCGAAGGATTGTCTCAGCTTAGTGTTTTTAGTTTAAAAGTTAATGAATAGGATCAGGATGAGGGGTGACCTTGAAAATAACAAACTTGGATGTTGAGTGGCATCCTCGACTGTATGGTACGTATACGTACGTATTGTATTTGCATATGTTGTTTGCATATTGAATCTGTGTGGTTGATGTTACGGATTGGTTTCTTGTTATTATTTAAATCAAAAATTATTTTAGGAAACCTCTCCAGGTATTTGCTTATTTTCCTTGTGTAAATGACACTATACTCTTTGGTTCTTTCGGTAAAGTCACGTAGGTATAAATAAAATTAAATAAAACAAATCGCGACGTTTCGATCGCAACACAAGCAATCTTCATCAGGTGGAACAACCACAGCAAGAAAAATGCTGAAGTAGGCGAGCAGTTACATTGGGGAAACTAAACGACATGTCTCGGACCGTGTTCATGAACACAAGGTAGATCTGAAACACGGCAGAACTAATACCTCTGCCGTGGCTGACCATTATCACACTGTGGGCTCGCATGATATTGTTTTTTCTGAGACCAAGGTACTCTGCAAACCTTCGGGCAACTATCAAAGGTTTGTTCATGAAGCCATCCAGATATATAAACATAGACATAACGTCAACCGAGAAGATGGATACAAATTTAGCAATCAATGGAAGGATGTTATTATGCAGGTAAAGCCTTAACTGGTTGTGGTTGTTTCCATCATACCTGCCGAATACTAGTAGATTTTTCAGAGTTACTTTCCCCCCGTGTCCCACATTCAGCTTTCCTCTTCTAGCCCCGCCTACTTCCCCCCCCCAGCCTCACTTCTTGTCCCCCTATGGCTCACGCAGCCCCCCTTCCCCTGCTCCACCCCCCCTCTATCTCCCCCCTTGCCCCTCCCCCTTTCTTACCTATATAACCTCTTGCCACGGCAGCTCTCTCACCTACTTAAACATTTTTCTTGCTGTGGTTGTTTTACCTGATGAAGATTGCTTGTGTTGTGATTGAAACGTCCTGATTTGTTTTATTTTATTTCTACCTACATGACTTTACTGAAAGAACCAAAGAGAATGTATTCCTGCCATCACGAAAGCTTCAAATAAAGATTAAATCACACTAGGTTACAGATGGCTGCATTTTGGTGTTCATATTATTACTGTAACCTCACTGTCGCTAAACACTGGACCTCCCTCTTGGATGTGTCACCTTGTGAAGCGCTTTGCCATGGTGATCATCATGTTTGAATGCTGTATGAGATGAAGTTATGTTGAATTAAACGCATATTGTATACACGTGCGGTGCAGATAGAGAGCCTGAGCCAGGCCGAGCTCGCCTCTCGTCTCACCCTCAACTGCCAGAAGTCATACGTGGAGCCGCAGAAGCTGAAGGACGTGGCCATCACGCTAATGGATGTGAGTCCTCAATCTTTCCGACATTGTTGCCGTTTGACAATTCGTTCCTTTGTGGCCGTGTGTTTCAACGACTGTAAAGTGTAAAATAAATAAATCAAATGACAACCACGGGGCAATGCCCACGTGACTGCCCTGGTGTCTGTGCCAGTCCCGGCGGCTCGTCATCGTGAGACATGGCGTCACGTGATAGGTGGAATGTGAAGGCCTTGACTATTGTTATTGGTTGGCCACACTGGTGCACGGGAAGCATGCAGCTCCCGGGCAGGTCAGGTGCAGATTGATAGAGATGCAGATAATGAAAAAAATGTGAAACAAACTTTTGTTTAAACAGGAAAAAAATTATCTGTGGAAACAGGATCAGCCTGGGCCACTCTCCCCTGGTAGCGGAGCCAGGCATGAGTACTCCTGGTGCACTGCCGCAGATTTTAACACAATTTCTTTTTTAAACAGAGAAAATTCATAAAAAGATTTACTTCCCGTAGGTATCATATGGTGAGCATTGATATCGTATTGCCTATCATGAACATTTTAATATGTATCGTGAAAAAATTATAAAACTAACATGGGTAAGAATATTGTGTCAGAAAACGTGATATTGCCACAATCCTAATCTCACATCTCCATGCATTCCGTCCAGTCTCTTTCATTGAACCACTGTCTATAGAGTCCCCCTTCAGATAAGATACCCATGAGTCACGTGCAAGGCAGGTTGGAACAAGCTTGTGTGTTATGGGGCTTAGGTCACGTTCATCGTGTCATCTTCACGTCTCAAACTGACCCCGATTTCAAACAGCGAGCCGCAAAACCACTTGGTTCCAACACATATTGCGGGTCACCCACGGGTGCGTGCCAGTATCCGACCCGATGTACGAATCGACCACTTTCTAATAAAGCTAATGGATCATCTTGGTGTGTATCTTCGTTCAGACTCGTTCGTTTCGCTTTGTTACAGTCATCATCGCGCTTTTGTCTTTGGTGGGCAGTGGTAGTCATCGTCACGTGTGATGATTTTTCATCGACTCATCATGGTCATCGTGAACTAAAGTCAATTAAAAACTCTACATTGACGGAATATTTGGGCCACTAATTTCGTCGTGCACAACGTGAACTCCAGCGTCAGGGCGGCCCTGCCGTTCAAACGGCAAAGGCTACCTCGCCGCATCCGCCATGTTCCCACACAATTGCCAGCCACGCCGGCGCAACCCTGCACCACCAGCTTGGCTTGACGAGCCCTTGGCTTTGCCAATTCGACTGACGTGAAGAACCCTGACCCCCCCCCCCCTCCCCGTAGGTATTTGACGAGAGCGCGCTGACCTCCTCGGCGAAGGAGGACATGTACAAGCTGTACCCTACAGCCAAGCGAGCACACCTCAAGACGGGCGGCAACTTCCCCTACTTGTGCCGCTGTGCCGAGGTCATCCTGCACATCCAGGTGGGCCGGGTCATGTGCCGGGGGTCGGGTGGTTTGTCGCCGGTGGCAGGGTGGAAATGAATGAGAGTGATTTTAAGCGTACGTTCCGGACGCGTTGCATACGGGGGTTTTGCTTTTGAACATCTCCCCCCCCCCCCCCCCCCCACATTCAATCACGATTCAAAGTGCTGACATCCGCGGTGACAGTGAAAGACGTCGGCAATCGCCAGCGTGAAGTGGCGTTTTACTTTGGTGTCGCGTGGCAATTTGTAATTTGTATAGAAATTACACGTCCACCTTTCTTTAATTTGTGATTGACTGTTTTGGTTGACTTGTGGTCAGTGGCTAAGCCAGGATTTTCAGGTGGGGGGGGCAACCCCTTCAGCAATGAAAAATGATAGGAGTTGTAAATAAGGACTTGTCCCTTGCTTTTTATTCAACGCGTGTGCGGCGATGGCACAGCCATCGATCGAGGGTCGAATTCGAACCGTGTGTGATCGGCATCGCGCTCGCTGAAGGTGAATGCCTTCAGGGAAGTCGTGTACTGTATACGCAACTGCGCACAATTCTGTGAGTCGCTAATAACCGCTTTGCCGTTACTTATTGCCAATTATGGACTAAAACTATTGTCTTATCATCTCATAGAGTCCCTGGCACATAATATGCTACACAGTGGCAGTGGGGGTTGCAAAATGCCGATTTATTACTAATAAACCTCAATGATCCGATCGAAATTAGGGATTTCGATCGGATCCTTGGGGGGGCATTTGCCCCCCCCCCCGCCACTGCTTCCGGTTGACACCATGTTGGGTGGCTGTGTGATCGTTGACCGCGTATTATTTAACCGAGCTCGTTGATTGTGCATTGATCAACTATGCCGATTGGCTGGGGGTTGCCTGCATGCTAATAGAGTGGATTAGCAAGTTGTGTATTGATCGATTCTTGTTATCCACTGTGTTGCCCGTGGTAGTTGACTATAGGTTGGTTGACTAATTCATAATAATCGATCTTTTGGTTAGGCCACATAAAATGATCGAGCCAAATTTGTGTCGTTAAGACCCTCCACCACTCATCATTCTGACGTAGTTTCAATTGAGACGTATCCAATTGCTACATCTGGCTTTAGGAATCGTTCTTGAACTCGCCGGTGGGCAAGCTGAAATGATCGTAATGTGTCGCGTTAAACCCTTGTTCACATGGCTACTTAATTTGTTTGGCTGTGTCAGGTGGTGGCGAGTCTTTGTGACACAAACCTTACCATGTCATTGCGTGGCCTACCACAAAAATCAGTTGTGAATCGTGATATTTGATGTGAGAACCTTCCTGTTGGCGACTACGTGAACTGAACTGACTGTTGCCGGTCGACCACCGCGCGTCACCAGATCCACCTGCGGCAGTTCCACGTGACGCCCTACGCCGCCATCGACCCCACCATGATCGACCGCGAGGAGCTGCAGGTGATGGAGACCGAGCAGCCTGCGCCGGCCGAGGGAGACGGCCCCACCGAGCCGGCCACGAGCCCTGATCCCGAACCTTGACCCCTGACCCCCTCGTACCACCTCTTCCACCTCCTAGTGTCCTCACCGGTGCCCGAGAGCCATGCAGTGGTGGCGAAAGTAAAACCTGGCTGGCAAACCCTCCTGTCCGCCCACTCACGTTTGCCGACTGGAGGCTCCGAACCCTTTCGCTGCTTTCGGCCAGAGTGCTCGTATTCCCAGCGCAGTCGGGTAGGGGCGCAGGCGTGGGCTGATCCGTCCGTCCATTCAGCCAACCAGATCCTGGTCGCCAAGCGCCTCGGCGCCACCGTGATAGGGACTGCCGAGGCTGTCGCGCGGGCAAATGCAATGTCATGGTATCGCTTCGAGGTGTCTCCCCACGCTGCCACAGCCTCCCTATGCGGTACTTTGTTGGCATGGCTACGGGCATGTGTCGGGGAAACCTGGACACCGGGCCTGGTGAGAGGGTTGTCACTGGGCTGGGAGCATGGGGCTGTGGGTAAACGCGTGCGACGGCGGGGGGGGGGGGTAATCGGGCCGAGCCATACTGCCACTGCGACACCCCCGTCCCCCCCGGTGCAACGCACGGTACAAATGCCCCCATCGTGATGTTTTGGCACCATCTGCGACCACAGATTTTGCCGAAATTAGTGTCACGACCCGAGTTCCGGTGAGCGGTCCTGGTGCAGCGTTTCCGGGATGCCCTGTCTGCAATTATTTCTTTTGTAATTTTCTGACTGTTAATTATACAATTGTTTTGTATGTAAAGAAAACTGATTATAGAAACTAGAACTTTTTAGGTTTTCATGAACCAATGTTTTGTCGGTGGTTGTCCTGGTGGGGTTTGTTTTGAAGTCCTTGAACCCGTTTGCAAAGAATGGTAAAATTCCATCTCTGAATGCACCACATGTGTGGCTCGGAGCAATAACCATGAAGCGTTCCATATAGATTTTGTAAGGAAGGGCGTGTTTGGTGTTTGTATAGAATTTCTGCACGGGAGTCGCCAAATCCCTGCAATACGGTCTTATCATTTTCATTGCGCGCGGCGTTACGTGACTGCCCTTTGACTCATCTGCTAAGATCAATTCTTCAGCTCGCGATGGTGACAGTAAGCGTAGATTATTTACAGTTCGGTGTGCATTGTACGCCGTTGCTCTGCGCAGACCGCGCGGCTATTAGAAGCGCGATGCGCGCCACATGGCTGCGGAGAATCTGTTCTCAAATCGCGATGCGTGCCCTGCGTCGCACGTGCAACGATCTATTATCTTCTGCGATTTTGGCACGCCGTGTGAGATCTGTTCACGTGACCCGGCCAGTGACCTGCTGAGGCACAAACATTTGTTAGAAGATTAAGAATCAATTCTTGAATCGCAATCGCTGACACTGAATCATGATCATCTACACAACTCTGAGAAAGGTGTGGGCACGTCATATACGGGGGGGGGGGGGGTGCAGGAGCTGGGACGCTTGATCAGTTAGCCAATTTGTCGATTCAAAATGGTAACCAACCACTTTAATTGTGGTCCATCACCCGAGCCCCTTGAAAATTGGTGGCCGCCCCCAAAAATCCCCTACAAGCGACGCCGATGACGTCACCAAGCCAATGTGGGCGCAGGTGAGAAGAATTTTTATCCCCAGCTATTCTCGTGTTACCCGGGTTGGTCGAGTGATCGAACGTGAAGAATATGATGAGAAACCGGCTGTCGCTATACCGCCGTCTTAAAAGCTGCACTGGACTTGTAGTGGTGGTTAGTTCGTATTGGGGACTTATTGCCCAGGATTAAGACTGCAAGAGGGTTAATTAAATGCAGTGTCGTAGGTACTTCCGCTAAACCACTCCAGCTTCATCTGTCTAGTTGCTGCCAACCGAGACGTGTTGCGTCGCCAGCGCTCGCCTACGTCGCCGGGCTGGGTGCTGACAGATTATTGACCAGGTCCGCGCCCAGCCACACATTCACCACAGCCGCGCCTTTCTATTACCGCCGCTAGGGGCCTGGCTGAAGCAGGGCCCAGCCCGGCGACATGGGCGAGTACTGGCGCCTTGATTGCTTGCACTCGCGCTGCCCTCGGTGTTGTCGGGTTGCCGGTTCGGTTGAGAGCAATGGCACGGGATTGAAGTTGGTACGGCGAGCGTTTTGTTAGCGTCAAAATGAGTGAAGCAAACATGTCGACTTAAGTGCTTTTCTGTTTAATCTACGATGACAGCGCGATGATAACTCCGTCCACCCGCGAGTAGCGTGACTAGAGACTGCAGTGCACTGAGGAAGACCAAGCATGGCAATTGGCTATACGTAAGAGTCTCGCAAGACTTAACTAGTTCACGGATCTGATGACTTGACATTTATCGGGAGGGGCGGAATTGTCACCTTCCCGACATTTAACTCAAGAGGGACTCGATGTGTGACTGCACCGCCACGATACCCACAGACCCGATCTCTATGGGAGTCGTGGACCAGAGTGTGACACATACACGATGCTGACTACAACATCGCTCTGGCGGTACGTGACACACACCGGCGTTGCTGGGTGGGTGCCCATCGCCGCCCGAAGTCCGTCGTTCTGGCGTTCCCCTCGTTCCTGGTTTCCGACAACTGCGCAACACGGGCACAGTTCCGCGAGTGGCGTCCGATTCTTGGAGCTGCCGAAAATGTGAACGGCTTTGTCTACTGGATTTTAAATGCTATTTTAAATTAAATTTGTTAATAAAGGCATATTGTGCACTTCCTGGTGATTACATTGGGGCTGGAGCTTGTGACTGCGTGTGTTATGCTTGCAAAACGTGGACCCCCCCCCCCTAATGGAACATCTATGCCGGTCTAGAAACATTCAGGACGGCCTGCCGACGATCCATCCTGGGTTTAACCAGGCTGAATTTTGTGAGGAGCTCACAAATCCTTGAAAGATCTGGACACAGGCCCATCGGTGAGTTCTGGTAGGCAAGGCTGTGATGGCTGGAGCACGCATGCCCAAACGGCTTATGTTTGGCTGGATAGAGGGGGCTAAATGGGCATGGCACGGGCTGGAGAAAAGCTGAAGTGATGTAGCACGAGAGGATGTGGAGCTGAGTGGACTTGCCAATGACGGGCCAAGATTGGCCTGTGGAGGCTCGTCAAGGGCGCTGTGGGTATTTGGGAGGCAGTCGCCCTCCAGTAACAGAGGGCAGAGGAGTGATGCTCACGAGTTAAAACGTAGCAAGTTGGCACCATGGGGGGCACAGGTGGTGCATCGGCCAGTCATCTCAGACGGTCAACGCATGGCACCTGGGTTTGTCCGGTGACCTGACACAAGCGTCGTGGTGATGTCACCACTATTTGATCTTCGCTGATGTCAGCAGTAGTGACATCTGTCCAGCGGCTGGACGAAGTACCGCGTGACAAGCGGAACGACAGCTGCGGTGGTAGTAAGCAGCAGTACCAACTGGAGAAAGTTGTCAATGAAGGCCGACAAGAACCATAATCCGGCCCTGCCCCCTCCAAACTGGCAGCGGCGACTGCCTGTTGTCGTGCCAAACCACCGCCCAGAAATTCCAATCCTCAACCTCACGGGATCGGGTCACTTCTCATTGGAGTAACGTTCTGATGGAGTGTCATTTACGTTTGTCAAAGCAACTCTTCATCAACGAATTTATTCATGGATTGTCGGGATTTCGTGGGTCCCATGTGCAAGTTTACATTGACCGTTGCATGCGGCTTCCTGGTGCTCACTGGGCATGTGAAGATGTGTGGTTCCTCATCACCACGTCACTCACTTCACCGTCCTGAATTAAGCCCGAGACACAATCGCCATGAATGTGCCCATTGCCGTCAGGTGCTCACAAGCTAAGCAGATTTGAGTCTGGATACTGCCTGGGATGGGCGACTGCTTTGCATGTCAGGTTGTAATAGGCGATGGAGCTGTTCTATTTTGTGGGCAGCAGAATGGCAGTGCAGCTAAAACCTATTTCTGTCCGGCGCTCCGATATCAATGCATTCAGCAACTCGCACTGACTATCGTGGTGAAGAATAGCTAAATAACCAACACGGTGTAGAGGCCCGGGGAGGGGAGGGGGGTGTATGTGCTTCACTGTATACGGCGGCCGTGTGAAATGCTCGCAAGCCACCAGCGCAGACCGACTGGCAACGACGGTGCTCGTGGGCGCTCCGGAGAAACGAGGTCCGCGCTGCGATCGGAACTCAGTCGTTTATTTAACAAAAATGTTGATCATTTCCCAATGCACAGCTTGCCTTTGACTGATTAGACAACACCACGGCCTAGACGCTAGGGGTCGCCCTTTCTCCTCTGCTGCCTCCGGCCATCTGGAATTCCCATTCCCCTCTGACCCTCCATCCTTCCATGCTGTAGACTCCTTGCCCCTAATCAAGTTCAGGCTTATCCTTCTCTGCCTATTCCTGGCTCTTCTTCTCTTTATAAAAGTATAAATGTGTCTCAGAGACCCATATACCCACATAGACCATAGACTCACAGAGATTCAGACTGACCATATATCCACACTCTCTCACGAAGAGTCATTGACTTGCATAGAGGACATATATCCTCACAGGGACCTCATACACACACGGAGAACCATAGACTCGCCTCCAATTATCACCGTTGGCTATGTACGGTGCAAAAGAAGTGTAACATACAGACCTATATCCACACACGGACACCAAAGACAGATCCCCGTATAGCCTTAACAGACTGTTAGGGCAAGTGCTGTTAGCGAGCACCCATAAAGGCCGGCAAGCCTGACCGCCTTTGTCTCCCCAGTGCCAATGTTTATAACATCGCACCAGGTACTCTTTTGAGGCTGAGTCGACCTAGGGGAGGAACAGTTCAGATATTCGTCACTGGTGTTTGTGGCCGTGAGCGATAATCGAACTCGGGTCGCCAGGTTCATAGCGCAGTGTGCTAACTGCTGCACCACCGCTCACCGACAGCCATGGACTCGCATCGAGACGATATATCCACAAAGGAACTCCATCGACAGACTCGGGAGAGATCTATGACGCTGGTCTCTATAAAGGCACGTGCCCCACTGTTTCTGTGCGGCTGAGATGCGTGTTGCATGTTAGTTGTATTGCTATCTGTGCCTTGCCCTTAATAAAAAAACGGCTAAATTGATCAAACTCTCACAGCTTGGGGGTGACAATGCCCAGCGCGATACAAAAAAAACACATCACTGACCCAGGCACTGACATTACACACCCACTGCGTTCCTCGCCTCCCCGTGACATCTTGTTGAGTGGCTCAAAAACTTAACGTCGGCATCACTAATCAAAAGACTTCCGGGGGACGAGTGCGCATTTGGAAGTGCTACGGAATCCAGGCAACGTGCTTAATTTTTCTTATTCACCTCTCTATATATCTCCCCATCTCTCTATCGGAATCAGCTTAAGCCTCCCGTACATTACGTGACTTGTGTGGCCATCCCCCACTCCCTGCCCGCTGTGAAAACAGACGCAGCTCCTGTGCAGCAGCATTGAGGCCCTTATGTAGCTTCTTCCTTCAATGACCTCTCCGCTCCCGTTCCTCCGCTCCTTTGCAATCCTGTTCCCTCTTCCCTCTCCCGTTCCTTTCTCTTTCCCATGCGTTCACATCCCTGACTCCACTCCCTTTCCCGTGCTGTGGCCACGGGTACAAAGTTACGCCGAATTGGGACTCGTTGAGCCAGGACCGGCATCGCTGAAATTATAGCGACGACCGCCGTCACGTTGGCATCGTGTTCAGTAGAGGATGGTGCGGGGAAGTCCATCGCTGTACTGCATTACGCTCCCACGTCTACGCTCCACTGCCCGGCGCAAGTCCCGTTCGAAGTCCTGTTGAAATAGGGCCCGTGCCACCACGCGGAGCGTGGAGCCAGAGCGCCGGCGCGAGCTACGCCGAGGGGGCCCCCGTCACGTCCCTGCAGGGCTCCACCGGCGCCGTGGCGCCGCCAGCGTCCGCCGGTTCATGGGGGGCGCTGGGAAAATCTGGGGGGCTGTTGCTCACGCTCACGGACGCCGGCCGCAGCACGGAGCTGCGCTGCGGGGGGCTGCGAGACAACACAAGACACGCGACAACAACGAGCGCAGGGTTAACAGCGCAGTAGCAGCACTCGTGGCACACAGCAAGAAGGGCCTGGGTTCAATTCCCGATTCAGACATCTTTCAGTGTGTAAGTGGTTTGTATGTTATCCACCTGTTCTGCAGAACGAGAGTGAATGAGTGTAAGCGAGTGTGTTGTGGAGTTTGTAGGTTCTGCAAAGGCGGCCTGGTGTGGTGTTGGCCACCCATCTCCTCGTGTGCCGTGCCGGCCTTCATAGGTGCTCGCTAACAGCACTTGCCCCAACAGTCTGCTAAGGCTTTTCGGTGGATCTTTGTCTTTGGAGTTTGTAAGTTCTGCCCCTGTTCTGCATGGTTTTCCTTCGTGTTCTCCAGTTTCCTCCCAGACTAAAAACAAGCACGCAGCGTAATTGGTATTGGCCACACATCCCAATGCTGAATAATTAGCTGCAAATAATTCAAAAGAGTTTAAGCTCTGTGAGGATTTCCTGGGTAAACAGCACAATAATAAAATAATCCATCAACACCATCATCAGCTATGACCACTCCACTGCGAGAGATGGCCATCACCAAGTTGTTGCCATCTCTCACAGTCCTGTAGCGATCCATCTGGTTCTGGCACACGAACCGAATCCACCACCCACTCTGTCTCCGCAGTGGACGTCCTCTGGGGCGCGATTCCCTCCTCTCGGCGTTGCTCCGTCGTTAGTCTCAACCGGCGACCATCATCCCTTTCGGCTGTGACACGTGCTGCCCAGGCCCACTCGCTCTTCATAGCGGTCAACGTGAATTACGTTAAAATAGATCATCAGGTGGTGATGCTGCTGCTGCTGCGTTGGCAGTGGTGCACAATTGGAATGCTCTTCCTTCCGATATTTGGAGGCCACTGAGAGCTATGGCACTTTTAAATCATCGTCGAGATTGAAAACTCATTTCTTGGAAATAGCTTGTTGTGTTTTGTTTGTTGTCCTTCCCCCACACCTTCGAATAGCACGGGTGGCTACATACGGTGCGAAAGACGTTCAACATACAGATGTACAACCAAAAACTCAACACATTAGCCAATAACACTGCGTGGCCTTAAAAGAAAATAGAAAATCGGCGATGTTCCTTCTTCAGAGTACACAGGGAGATGGTCTGAATTGCTCAAAACGTCACCTCTATTGTGAACTACTTTTTAAGGCAGTGCTTTTAGCGAATGCATTGCCTTCTTTAGAACAACAGTTGGCGGGCTCGGGCAGCAACAGCTGAAAGGAGGATGGCCAATAGTGGACGTCAGAAATTAAACCGACGCAAACTGGGACAGGCAGGAAAGACAACAGCGAGGGATGGCACCGGACCGGCCCACACGCAGAGGATGTTGGCCTAGAACGAGGTCGTTGGTCTGGCATCCCATGCCGGACTTCAAGACACAGAACCGAGCGCACAACTGTACGGACACCCAAAGGCCTCTGCTGTGGCTGCACTCCATCGGGGTCCACGGGGCGGTGACGCTGGCCAGCGTCTGCCGCTGCTGTGCAGATTTGTGGTTTGAGCCCGGAGGCCGCCCTGGTTAATACCCTGATGGTATGTGCATTAACCACGAAGAACCGCGCACCGTCTGCTTCACGGTGGACGTTACAGAGACCGTGACATTATTATAAATAGACCAGTAAGGCCATGTTTGCCGAGTTCACGTTCCACATAAGAAAAATCGCACTGCAAGTTACTG